CAAGTTTATCCTACCCTACGAGTCGTGCGTCTAAAGTGAAGGTTTTGCTGTTGACGGTGCTGCCTTAAGATTTCGTTGCAACATAATAATTAAAAATTGAAATTATTTTCAACGCGAAAAGAATCTTTAGAAGTAAAAATAGTTTGAATTGAAGCGAAAAATAAATTATAAAATGATAAACATAATCTATCATCTATCATTCAAATTTGAAGGTCGATTTTTCTCTCGTTTTTCATACCACCGTCTATTTGATGTCGATACGAAATTCGATAATAATACATATGAATCACTCTCCATCCGATATCGAAATAGGTATCGAATGACAGCTAGCGAGCCATAGCGACTTGTGACAAGATAAGAATCCCCTAGCTGATACTCCAATATGAGTTGGTGTGACTCCCTACGATTGTACGTCAATGGTCACCTGATCTCACACCTGTTTTTACCGTATCCTTCCTTCTTTTGCTCCGGAAAGTGTCGACTTAAAAAAGCTTAACAATATAGTATTCGATGGCCTATCCTAATGTTGTGCACAATGCTCTCGTTGAATTTTGTTTAAATTATTATAGCCTAACCTAGTCTAGAGGCTATAAATAAAAAGCAGAAAAATATAATAACAAAAGTTTTATTTAACAGAAAATTTACTAGTACAACTTCATAATTTAGGTTCTACGTTCGGGTTTTGCAAAATAATGGGATGGTATCCTTTTTTGTTCAACAAATTGTGAAAATTCGTAAGGCAAACAAAGTCGATTGGGTATATCAGTTTCACCCTTACATCTGGGGCATGTATACTTAATGGGGATTGGGATTGTAAACAGTATCAAGTCTATCAACGTAATGCTTCATTTCAATGAGAAAGTCTCCTGTTATACAAGTTTGAAGTTTGATAATTATTAGTAATGCGGCATGTTTCGAATAGACTCCTGTGATAACACTTGGTACTTTGGGAGACTTGGGTAGCATTCGAATACTAGCTATTTTGAATCCTATTCGAATCCTGTATTGGAATCCTACGGAAAGAGACCCGACGTCGGTTGAATCAGAAGAAAGTATAGTGCAACTTTGTGCTCATTATTATGCTGCATTGATATTTCAAAAATTCCGAGTGCTGTCCAGAGATATCAGGAAAACCTCGAAATTCGCCAGAAATGATTTTATTTTTCCAATACCGCTTGTCAATAATAGGCAATCCTCCTTACGCTTATAATCCTTGGTTTGTGTCAATATCGGCGCTTGTCAATAATGGGCACTCCTCTCGACGCTTATAATCCTTGGTTTGTGTCAATCAATAGCTGTCTTTCTCTGTTCCTTTACGTTACATCTTTCTTCTCTCTCGAGTAACGAAATTTGCCCGTGACGCGTTTTTCAAATCACTCTCCATTGTCGTCCAAATAGCAGAAAGCCGTTTAAGAAGTTTCTTTTCAAAAATTATTGAAATGAAAATAATCTTGATACAATTTTGGAACATAAATAAAAGTTGTATGATATTATGTTAAGTGTGTGCTGGCGCTATTTGACTGTGAGTTGGTGGTATACAGAGATCAATGGTGGCTTCATCTCTGTCATTCTCAGGAGAATAAAACATAGTTTATACTAAAGCTTATTTTTATTCTCAACAATCATTGCCAATATGGTTAATGGGACTGTGAGTGCGACTACCATCTAAATTGTATCAATATTCATAATCATAAAAATGAAATACGTCTTTATCGTCACCCTTGAATATATTTTTTTTTTTCAATAGATATTGAGTATTTAAATAGAAACAGATCCCAAATTTCCGCATACTTTTTTCCTCAACCCATGTTATTTGTGGATGAAATGAATTAAAAATTCCACCACATTGATTGCAGATGTGCGGCAACTCCCATGACGTTACAGGTTATCCTGGTACTGGCAGATATGAATAAGCTTTTAGAGGGTTATGATCCTATTGATACTTATATTTAGAGCTTAAAGTTGTTGTAGCGTCCAGCCTGTAAGAGACATTGTTTAGTATATAACACTGCAATTGAAATGATACACACCGCTTTCTTTTTCCTGGAATTCTGTGAACTTTTTGTTCAGGATGCCTGAAAACCCAAATGACCAAATTTATTTCTGAGCAGGGGGTGGTAGTGGCAACCGGTATCTTTCTAGCACTTTACTGAGGCTATTTGGGCCCCTTATAGGCTACTTCCAGTTTCAACTTGAAAGTGGTTGTGTCATATTTTAGTCCTCTATTATGTTATTCCATAGTTACCGTGATTTGTTAAAGGAAAAACCAGTTCTAAAACCCCTTCTTCTCGTGTACGTGTACGCATGTTTGCTGAATTCGGTGGGTCGGTTGCCCAAGAATGTGCGAAGTTAGTTTTCTCATATCCTTGCGCTATTCAACTGTTTGCTCTAAATTATTTTTTTCGCATACGCATTTTCTGCTATCCTGGTAATTGTGTCCTCCGTCCGTCCTAATACTGGATAGGTATGCCACAGCTAATTTCAAAACGTGCTTCACGCTGATAGGGTCCTGCTTTGATGAAAGCCGCTATGTTTCAATTCGGTTCTTGAAAGATGTTTTGACAAGACTAACGTCTTCCTCCTGCTTCACCAGGTGTTGGCTCGGTGCTAGAGACACCGAAGATGACCAACCCATTGATTTATCGGTGCCTCCAAATCGCAATACTCACACCACCGGCATGTGGCTGATATTGAAGGTCCTGAAAATAATTAAATTAGATTTAAAAAATGCGATTAATGTCAACTTACCAGCAAAAGTCTAGCTTGCTTCATCATGGGGGCGGCGGGATCTCCAGCCTTTCGTTTGGAGGCTCTCTTGGAGCTGGGTGTTTGGGTGGTGTTGGATAGCCCCCTCTGCTTTAAAAATCCCACCACATTGGTTACAGATCTTGGAAGATGATTAGCAATCCCATGACGTTTCAGGTTATCTCCTTCCTGGTGAACGATTTTGTACATAAAATTAAAAATTCGCTGTTTATGGAGGTTTGTTTTAAAATAAATGAAAAAATAAAACCAGTTTAAATTGGTTAAAGAACCTACCTAAATTTTAGAAAAAGAAATTTGAGTTTTGTGCAAATGTAAGTGTAAAAGTAAATTCAAGTTGCTCCGAAAAAAACTATTGGAATTAAATTAAGAAATAGGTACTCAGGGTTGTCTGTATTTTTAAAAAACAAACAATATGTTTATGTGTTAAGGAAAATAAAAATAATTCAATAATCGAGGTTTGTGTTAATTTAAAATATGTCTCAGGGCATGATTTATCCTACATCACTTAGATATTTAAAAATAGTACTTACAGTTTTTCGAAACCGACACTTATCGCACAAGAAACTAAACTTTGAAAATCCAGGTTCAAAGTACTGGTACTGGATGCTGCGTTTTTTGTACAAAGAATAAAAATTGAATCCTCATCTTTTACAGGTAACAATGTATCCACTGAAATTTTGTATTGCATAGGGTTATTGGCTAATAAAATGTCAACGATGCTAATTTAAATCTATTCTTTTAAATTTTGATAAATCGATTGAATTTGTCACCTTTTTTAAAATAAAAATGGACATATCAAATATCTAACTTAATAATTACGCCTTAAACTAAAAAATTATCTTTAAAATGTGTTGTTGTTTTTCTCGGGCGATTTCTGCGAACGGTCCTGATATAATTCAGATAAAAAAACTGCCGAATAAGCGTTTACATTTGACGGTGCTTTTGTATGTGATATCAAAGTTTAAATCGGATTTTATAATAACAAGCTTCTTTCAGTTTGCTCAAACTCGTCACCAGTGAAAAATATAAAATTATTGCACAACAATTATCATTTTAACCAAGTAAGTAAATATCTTATATACTAATATCAATCAACAACAAGACCTGTTTTTTTATAGCAAAGGATTAAAAACACTGAGAAAATTACAAGACCTGAAGCCTGATATAGAGTGAAATTCCCAATATTTTGGCAGCGTTTTTTGTATGTGATTACTTCAAAGTTTAAATCGGATTTTATAATAACTAAGCTCTTTTAGTCTTGTTTGAAACTCGGTGAACTATAAAATTATTGCACAACAATTATCATTTTAACCAAGTAAGTAAATATCTTATATACTTACTAATATCGATACAATTATGAATATTTTAGATATGGATTTGAAATCAATCAACAAGACCTGTCTTTTTATAACAAAGGATCAAAAACGCTGAGAAAATTATAAGTCCTCGTAGAAAGTGAGAGTACCCAATATTTTCTACGATACAGACCTCAAAATAATTGCAAATCTTTACTGGAACCAGTAAACTATACAAATTAAGGTACATCAACAGATGTCAAGCGAAGTTCGAATTAAAAGGGGTGCCCACAGTGTTGTATTCTTTCTCGTCACAGTGAGGATTATAAAATTATTGAGCAACAATTATTATTTTAACCTAGTAAGTAAATATCTTATATACTTAGGTAATCGATACAATTGTGGCATATTTTTAGCTATGGATTTGAAATACACGTTGAATTTGACGACAACGCAGTGTTTCTCCCAAGACGTACCACCAAAATGATTAGATCATTAAGCAGTTTATTGATGGAAAATATTCGCTTTTTGAAATCGTTGTCTTGAAAAATGTATGTTTTCAATAAAAAAAACGAGGCCCCTTCCCCATCAAATGTTGGTTTCAACCAAGGATAATACACACTACTACTACAGGATAGCCTATCCTCATAAGGCCTGTGTGGAACAAATCCACTCTCTCCCCAACGTTAAATCACCAGTTGTGACGTAAGCAGCATGTTATTTCTCGCCTTGACGTAGGTTGTTTAAACAGCTGATGGCTTAGTTATGGCGTCGTAAATGGTAACACACGAGGTCAATAAGCAATCCTGTAGGTGTGTTTCATCCTTGAGTTCGAACACCCTCTACCAGGTACAACATGAAGCTAGCTGCTGGACCCTCATAGTTACGTCACCACCACAGCATCCTGTTATAAGACACATCAAACTTGACACATGTACTCTAAATGGTGCCACCGACACAAACTGACGTAACCCACGAGACCCAGGTCGAACCATGAATCGAACTTTGCACTATGTACTCTAGATGGTGCCAAGGACGTGACCCAGGTCGCTATGACGTCATCACAGAACCCGAACCATGAATCGAACTTTGCACTATGTACTCTAAATGGCGCCACAGACGTGACCCAGGTCGCTATGACGTCATCACAGAACGCGAACCCTGAATCAAACTTTGCACTATGTAGTCTAAATGACTCCACGGACGTGACCCAGGTCGCTATGACGTCATCACAGAACGCGAACCCTGAATCAAACTTTGCACTATGTACTCTAAATGACTCCACGGACGTGACCCAGGGCGCTATGACGTCATCACAGAACCTGAAACGACTCAAAACTCCCGCTATGACGTCATGATGTTTGACAGGTGACGTTTGACAGGTGACGTTTGACAGGTGACGTTTGACAGGTGACGTCTGACAGGTGACGTTTGACAGATGACGTTTGACAGGTGACGGTTGACAAAATGGCGGGAAAACATTTCCCCCCACCCCTTTTTCTGGTACCCATAATAAAATCCGGGGGCCCCTTTTTGGGGGGCGGAGCCCTGTGAGCCCCCTTTTTGGGGACGGAGCCCTGCGGGCCCCATTTTTGGGGACGGAGCCCTGCGGGCCCCATTTTTGGGGGGCGGAGCCCTGCGGGCCCCCCAACTACAGCATCCTGTATTACGAACTTCACACTATGTACGCTAGATGGCGCCATGACGTTTGACAAGATGGCGCCGACGATGCATCCACCTTCGTGTCAACGGCGGCGCATCCACCACGTGTCAAGAATGAAAGATTGAGGTTATGGTCGGAATTTTATAGTCATACCCCCTTTGACTATCTACTGACGAAGACTGAGCTTTTCCTACATTTACTGGAAAAAACCTTAAATCAATGGATATTTGACACTGGTGCAACTTCCCACATGTCAGGGGACAAAGCTGTTTTCAACAATTTGAGACAATATTCAAGTCAAATACGATTGGGAAACGATGAAGTCATTAATGTATATAACTCATATTGAAGAAGTAAGTCTCAATACTTCACTGTCATGAAGAAAGAATATTAAAATTACCTTGTAAGAATAACTTGGAATTCCGGGAGAATTACGTCGAATTTCCGGAAAATGAATGGAATTTCATTGGAGATTTTTCGAAATTTCACATAATTTTACTGGAATTTCACTGAACTTCCAAATAATTTCACAAGATTTTTTTCAAATTGCATGAAAATTTAGTGTCATTTTTGAAGGAATTTTCTAGTATTCCAGGAAAATTAATGGAATTTCATCGGAATTCCACATAATTCCACTAAAATCCTAAATAATTTCACAAGATTTTTGATATTTGAGTAGGTACCTAAGTTGTTAGTAGCTTATTACTTATTATTAGTTATTTCAAATTTCAATAATTATTTATTATTAATCGATTAATAAAAATTTGCCTGAATTTTGAATTATAAGGTAAAGTTCAGCGCAATCGTAACAACGGTGTCAAGATCTCTGAAATGTAAATGCTTGGTAATTTTTTTTTTTTTTTTTTAATGTACACCAGAATTTCTCGTAATTCCATAAAAATTCTACTAAAAATCCTTGTAGTTTCAAGGAAATTTTCTGTAATTGCAAGAATTTCCACAGGAATTTCTAGGAAATTCACAGGAATTTTAAATATTATCATATTTTTTTTTTTTGGAATTTCACGAGAATTATTTAAAATTTTGGAGAAATTACTTGGAACTCCAGGGAAAAAAATGGAATTTCATAATTTTACCGGAATTCAACATAAATTCCGCATATTTTTGTTTGGAGCTCTACGTAGTATCCCTGTGAATTTTATTGAATTTTACTGGAATTTTAGTCCGCATAATTTCAGTGGAAGTTTGCATAGTTTTTATAGAATTTTCGAAGAAGAAAATTCTTTGGACTTTTGCATAGTTTCTATGAAATTTCGGCATAATTTTTATGGAATTCCATACAACTTAATTCCACATAATTTTTATGTGATTTTGATTTTTTGAAATTCAACGCTTTTTTTGGAATTCTATATCATTTTCCATTTAATTTTACTAGAATTGCGCATAATTTTAATCGGATTTGGCATATTTTCAATGAAATACTGCATACTTATTATAAAATAAGGCATCATTTCCATCATATTCAGCATAATTTCAATGGAATTCCTCATAGTTTCTACGGGGTTTCGCATAATTTTTATGGAATTTTGCATAATTTTTATGGAATTCCACATAATTTCTATGGGTTTTTATGTTATTTAATTGAAACTCAACGATTTTTTTGTAATTCTACGCCATTTTCCCAGAATTCCATTTGATTTCACTGGACAAATCTATGTAATTTTTTAAAAATTAAACGTTTTTTTTTTTCTATGGAATTCAGAATAATTTCAATTAAATTTTGCATATTTTTTTACGGAATTTCATTTAATTCCATTTAATTTTACTGAAATTTCACATAATTTCTATAAATTTTATTCAAATTAAATGGAATTCCATGTCATACCTGGAAATTCCAAAAGAAATTACAATATATTTTCGCATAGTTTCTATCAAATTTCACATAATTCCAATATAATTACAATATAGCTTCGCATGATTTCTTTAACATTTCTCAAAATTTAAACGGAATTCTGCATAAATTGCCCATATCTTTGTTAAATTTCAAGCAAATTGAAATAAATTATATATCATTGGAAAGAGCATATAGTAGAAAAATCTCAAAACTGGATGCAAATGGATTTTTAAAAAAATCTCAGAAAATGGAGAAGTAATAAGGCCGGGGTTATCCAATTCCTTAATTCTTAATTTTTGTTCTTAATTCTTAATCGTTAAAAACCCCAATGTTAAATAAATTGATCTTTTTAAGAATTAAGAATTAAGGACAAATATTAAGAATTAAGGAATTGGGTAACTCCGGCCTAAGATTCAAAGCTAGATTAGTGGCTCAAGGTTTTACCTAGATTTCAGGCATTGATTTCGAGGAAACCTTTTCTCCAGTTGTAAGATATGTAACAATTAAGATTTTGCTGGCACACACTATGTACATAATGATAAACAACTGGACATCAAAACAGCATTTCTCAATGGTCATTTAGATGTTGTAATTTACATAAAAATCCCAGAAAGTGTTGACGGTGAGCCAGGGAGAGTTTATTATTTGAAAAAAAAAGTATATACGGTTTGAAAAAGTCTCCCAGATTATGGAATCATAAATTGGTCAGTGTTTTGAAACAAATAAACGTGATTAACGTGAAACAATCCATAGCTGATCCATGTATGTTTCTGTTACAAGATGGAAGACAATCTATTTGAGAGATCACTAACCTAGGTAAACCAAAATTTTTGTTATCGTTACAAATTTTATGGAATCCTTCATCTGTGTCCTTAAATCAAGAAAGATAATTGGAAAAAGTTTTGCATAAATATGACACAATGAACTGCAAGACGACCTCTGTTCCAATGGATCCTGGTACCAAAGCTCCAAAGGCAAGAGAGGAAGATAAAAGAGCTATATCAGTCAAAGATTGGAAGTCTTCTATTTCTTGCCATGGGAACATGACCTGACATAGCCTATGCAGTGAACAAGTTATCATAGTTTCAATATGAAAATGCTTCAGCAGATCTTAAAATGCCTTGAAGGTTCCGCAAGTAAAAGCTCAACCTATACCTTCACAAAAAAACCTGAAATTCGTGTTTAACAGTGATGCATCATATGGAGACTGTGCACAAGGCGATCCAGTAGTGGATATATTGGGGATTATGGTAACGCAGCAGTCACTTGGACTTCAAAAAGGCAGCAAAGTGTTGCAGTGTCCGCTACTGAATCTGAATATATGCCACTACTCTCATTGACTTGTAGACAAAGCAGTTGATTTTTGATCTGACAAACAATAATTCTAAACCACTGTTGTGTGATAACCAAGCTGCAATTTATATTGGAACAAATTATATATTGCATCAACGAAGTAACCACATCGACGTTCATTAATCACTACATCTGAGAAAGAATTATGGAAAATGATGTCGAGGTGCAATACATAGCTACTGCTACTAAAGAGAATATTGCTGATATTTTGACAAAACCACTACCTACTGAAGACAGTTTTTCATTCACTTTGGTCCAAGTATTGAAATATGAAGCTACATTGACGTTAGATCAGATCTTAGACTATTTTATAATTTATTGTTGTTAAACCCATATATCTACTACATCATTTTTGATCAATGATTTGAGTTATATCAATAAAAATAAAATTGTAAAAACTCTGCGACTATTGGTAGGTACTAACAATCCAGTCATGTGTCGGAATATTTTGTGGTACCAGCCTTTAAATTAATTTCTACCGGTCGGTGGTTCTTAGTTGCCACCTGCTGTAATCATTAAGTGGAATAAAGACCATAATATCGGACAAAATTGGAATCTAGATCCCATTTTGCGGGAAAGGAAAACGCATATGCCTGCCTCTACCACAAAACTTATTTAAGTACAAAATAATGTACTTACATGCGAATTGCACAAGGAAATTCAAAAAGAAATCTTGCTCGTTTATATATCAGTGAAAGTGTTGTTTATTGTAATCGAATTTTGTAGTCAACAAAAAAAAAAAGACTATAGATTCTTGAAAGTTTATTCGAACAATCCTTTGTAGCTGATAATGGAAAAATCAAATGAACAAGCTGGATTGTCAGTCATTGTGAGACAGTTATCAGCAATGCGAATGAAAAATAATTCACAATAATAAAGTGTATGATTAGCAACCTCCGACCAGTTGAGGAAGCATCAAATTATTTTTTTCTTGTCAAATATTCCCCATTCAATAAAGCCTTTATTCTGATACTGATATGTACCCACTGAAAACAATTAGGTAATCAGCTCCAGATAACATAAAAACACAATCAAACTTACATAAATTCCTCTATTTAACAATTCAGGTGCAATATAACGTCTCCTGTATCCCATACCTTCCCTCTTCCTAGGTTTTTCCTTTAAAAATCTTTCGTGTCCCCCCAAGCAACTGTAATCTTCAAATTTCACTTTATGTTCTTGATCGAGTTTAAGGGCGGCAAAAATATGCTTGGCCGGAAACAGAGTAATGCCATCTCTGTCATCGACAAGATAAAATGGTACTCGTCCAGCTAGGACGTCTCTAGTGGCTTCTTTAGGGATCACTTGATGGACACCGATACTGAAAAGAGATGGCCCTTTGGTACTAGAGAAGGTTATTAAAAATTGATATTTACCCTCTTATTAGCATGGGGATTTTTTTGACTTCTTCTGCTGGACTAGTCAATGGTGGGTTTGGGTTAGAAGCTGCGGTACTAGGAGTACTAGGGCTAGGTTCGCGTCTGGGCGATTTCCTTCTTTTCGGAGGCGGGCCAACCGGGATTAATGATTGCATTGTTTTTCTATTTGGGAATTAGCTTTTTGTGTATTACGACAAAATCTAAAGGAGCAAAAAGGCACTTTGAGTACTGGTACCTATGATTTTTTCTACGTCCCCTTACTTTTTACATAACGATTATTATTTTTTGTGTAATTTATGAAATCAGAAATATTTTTTATTTAGGGTGTCTACAAAGATACCACACTGAGGTTTCGGAATTAGAAAATTAGAGAAAAGTTGCATGAAAGTAGAACATTTGGAGGAAATCTCGAAAAACAAATTTTCAGCGATTCTTATCCTATTGGAGGACTACAAA